CTAAACCCTAAACCCTCAACTACAAACTGCTCCAGGACCTTGAGACCAGCTTCGCAGTCCGGATCTGCACTGCCTGTGCCGCATCTTCGGGGAGTTGACGGTGCAGGTAGTGACGGTCAAGGGTTTAGGGTTTGGGGTTTAGTCTAGGGGCCTTCATAGTTTGAATAGGGTTTTGGGGGTTCCTTTAAAGGGTTCTATAAAGGGTACTATCAGGGTTTAGTCTAAGGGGCCTTCATAGTTTGAATAGGGTTTTGGGGCGGTTCCTTTAAAGGGTTCTATAGAGGGTACTATCAGGGTTTAGGGTTTAGGGGCCTTCATAATTAGAATAGGGTTTTGGGGCCCCTTCTATTATAACTCTAATAAGGAGCCACCAAATAGTTTTGCAATTATTTAGGCCCCTCCATTAGGTGGGGCTGCTCCTCGGGGTACAAGTATCGGGTTTCAGAACTTCAGGCTCTACTGAGGCTTCCGGAGCGGAGCTTCTGCAGGTGTTGAGGCGTACTTGGCCTTAGTACGCCGTCATCAAAGGAAAGCTGTAATTAGTTTAACTTCCCTAAACCCTAAACCCTCAAGAAACTCCATACTCTCACGCTTTGAAGATTATACAGAGCCTTTGAAGAATTCTCTCATGCAGCGCTAAGGCGGTCCACAAACTCGACGCAAACCCTGAACTCGAATTCGGGTTTTAGGGTTTAGGGTTTAGGGTTTAGGGGTTCCGGTTCAGGGTTGAGGGTTCAGGGTTCAGGGTTTAGGGTTTATAAGGTTTATAGGGTCCAAGAGTCTGGACACTTGTACATCCGACGAATCGCAACAGAAACCTCCCCCCAACCCCGAATGCAATCGGTCCTTTGCACTCTCCGCCCCAAACGGCCGAGCCGCAGCGTTACGCCGATCCTTGGACCAAACCTCGCTCAGAAAGCGACTTTTCGGGAAGTTCATTTGGATGTTGGGGCTCATGGAACAGAAACGGGATCGGACAAGGAGGCGTTTCCTTCAATTGGAGTCTGAGCCGTCTTTCGAGCAGGCAGAAGGCCATGGGCATAAGCGCCAGCCTCATTGTAGCGGCTGTCGCTGCCGCCTTCCAGAGAGCCGAAGCGCCTGCAGCAACAAGTGTCCGAAGGTTCAGAGTTCAGTTGTTGCAAAGCTGACATGTTAGGGTTTAGGGTTTAGGGTTTAGGGATAGCGATTCTAGGAATCCCTGCGCCCTACATAGCCGACACCTGGTCCTGACTAAACTTTAAACTGAAAAGCCCGAAGCTGTTTAGGCTTTAGGGTTGGCCCTAAACTGGTTTCGTGTTAAGGGATTTAAACTAAGTTACCATAACACGGATCTGTAGTAAATCATATGGCTTCCTTCTTATGGTACCTTAAATTAAATCCCCTAAACCCTAAACCCTAAATCCCCTAAACCCTACACCCTAAACCCTAAACCCTAAACCCTAAATCCCTAAACCCTAAATCCCTTAACCCTGAATCCCTAAACCCTAAATCCCTTACTTAAGAACCCAGTAACCCTAACTGCCAGCCTCTCCCGAAGCGCCGTCGAGAGTTGCACTGGACATCTCAGGCCGGCCTCCCAGAAGTAGCTGAGCTTTCTTTAAGGGCTCTCCGGCTCCATAATCTAGGATTAGGGATTGGGTTTAGGGTTTAGGGTTTAGGGTTTAGGGTTTAGGGGTTAGGGTTTAGGGTTTAGGGTTTAGGGCTTAGCGTTTAGGGGCCCTGATAATTAGAATAGGGTTCTTGGGCCCATTATCCTAAGAAGGATCCCCCAAATTAGTATTGGTAATTATTTAGGCCCCTATGCTAGGTTTCTTTGCGGCTTCATGGATTAAGGTTTCCACAGGGGTTTATGATCCTTGTGTAAATCATCAACTCGAACAAAGGACTGCAAGCAACGAAAGCACTTGGAATCCTGCAGAAACGGCCAACCTCCGGTTCACTCTCCACGAAAACTTCTCAGGCGTTGCAGGCACCCTAAACCCTAAACCCTAAACCTTAAAAACTAAACCCTAAACCCTAAACTCTAAGCCCTAAAAACTAAACCTTAAAAACTAAACCCTAAACCCTAAACCTTAAACCCTAAACCCCAAACCCTGAACACATCGCACCGTCATTGGTAGGTGTAGACATCAAGGCACGCCATAGTGCCCACTCCCTCCGTCGCACCCTCGCTTCCCTCCCTCCCTTCCTCATTCAATCAACTATAGTATACAACAATGAAGGATGAACAAGTAAACAACCTATATATATATATATATATATATATGTATGTTATATTCGCAATCGCATATACGAAATCGCATAAAGGCCGGAGGATGTGGCTTGCTGTAACTACCCAACCGCTTGAACCGCCCGGCCCCACCTTCCGCAACGTCTTCGCGAAGACTTGCGCAGTCTCCCGAGCCCGGGAGAAGTCGCTAGAACTGGCGTGGGTTGAGGTTTAGGGGTTTAGGGTTTAGGGTCTAGGGTCTAGGGTTTAGGGGTACATAGGGCTAAAATTTTGCTAAAATTTAACCCTAAACCCCAAACCCGGCTTTCACTTTCTTTCGGGTTTTCAGCTTGTCGGCTCTTGTGGCCAGAGGTGCAGGATTTCTGAAGCTGTCAGGGCTTAGGATGTATAAGGAGAATTCTCATGATCGACAGTCGAGGGATGGACAAACAACGACGGCGAGTGCTTCGTTGTGAGTTCGAGATTTGAGCTTGTTTGTCAGATCCGCATTTCCACAGAACTCTAGAATCCAGAAGTGTTGGCAAGATTCTCTATCCTCTGTAAGCCTGTCTATTGAGCCTCACCACCAAACACGTACTGCATTCCACATCGGTGCGGTGAAACAAAGTGAAGAAGGAGTCCTACAGTAGATGGCCAAGGGCACAGACATCTGACTCAAACGAGCATCTTTCATTTCTAGGTGCCCTGACAGGCTTGCCATGTTGATTTTGTTCACAAAGGCCCGTGTATGTGACCCGGCGTGTGTTTTGGAAATACACATACTGGCAGAATGCACTCATGTGTGTGATGTCGCAGGAGCGCAGCATGATGGCAGGAGTGTTGCATTCCCAAAGGGTCCTATATACTGTTATGGGGCATACTTCCCCAAATCATAATAGTAATTCCTAATATAGAAACCCTACATTCTACTATATAGGTACTTAGGACCCTTTGGGATTAGATTTGAACCTGGGACCCTCTGAACCAAATGCTCGATCTTCGTGTCATCTGCTACACCCATAGGCTCCATTGTAATTCCTTTCGGGGGGGTACCCTATAGGATCCTAAAGATAAACCACAAAAAATAACTACAACGGAGCCTATGGGTAGCCTCATCAGCTAGTTGACTGGTAGAGAAATCAGAACTTCATTCAGTGCTGAAGCATTTTGGAAAAACCAAGGCCTCGCATCGAACCGAACACCCGGGAAATGTTTAAGTCGGTGAAACTGTGGCCCCAGCACAATCACCACACGCGAGGAAGCACTCTTGATGAATCGAGAGCCTGAGCAAAAAGGCACTGCGCACTTGAATACCATACGCTCGTGCTTCAGATGCTCATCTTCGTCAGCAGGATCTAAGGCAAATCTGCCAGGAGCGCTCTAAGGGAAAAACATAAAACACCATGCGATGTCCACAAAACCTACTGATGCAACCCGAAGTCAACTTCAACCCATGGACAGCACCGCCTGTGCGCTTGACAGCAGCGCGCCCTCGCCATGGGTTTTCGATGTTTTGGGGTATACTATACCCATAGTAGTTCCTTTTTGGGCTTACCCAAAAAGGAACTACTATGGGGCATATGGTAGGTATAATTATTCAGGCCCCTATATTAAAGGCCTGATGGTTTTTGCCGGGGGCGTCTGAGAGTCCGGGTATTCAGACTATGGACAGATGTGGACAGTTCTTTATTAGAAAGACTAATAGGAGTATTAATGGTGATCTTAACTTATCATCATTATTATTACTACTATTAGTCTTTCTAATTGTTTTGTTAGGACTTATGACTATTATTTCTAATATTACTATGATTAGCTGATTTGCTAATGAAGCTCTGCAAACGAAGCTCTGGCAACACGCATTTCCAACGAGGACTCACTTCGACGAGCATTTCCTGAGGAAGTTACTTCGAATCGCAGCATGCGTGACGACTTCCCACGCTCAGCGTGGTAATTTGGGACTCGTGAACCTGTACGCCATCAGAAACCGAAGTATCATGCCTTGTTGTGGGCTTCAAAGCCAGCAACAAACAGACGAAGAGATCAGTGGGAAGTATATCAGAGAGCTATTTAACCTCACACCCTTACGGCCAAAGCCTCACAACTCCGAAGAATCACCACGACGGGAAGCCCAGCACTTCAGGTTAACCCTTACCCTCAAAGGACTCATATTCTATCATTCTTGTGCCCGAAATCTTATGAGGCTCTTGGGCTATTTTGATGCTGAGCGTAAGAATGTCGACAGACTAAAACCCCGAACCCTGAAGAAGCTCTGAGACCGTCTGGTGTGGGTAAAGAGCAGGTCCTGCTTTCGTCAAGCCGTATTTCTTCGTGCCCACCTAGCGACAGCAACGCTTCAAGTTGGTTGGGCTGAAGGGGGTGGGGCCTGGGATTAGGATTCCAGCCCACGCGCCGCGAATCCGCAGCAAGCATCAACTTACAGGAGTTGCAACCCCTTCGGTGAGAGTGCGTCGCTATATCCGGGCGCAACACTTCAAGAGAGCCAGCCCTCAACGCGCTTCGAATCCGGAGCTGCAAATCTCGGACACCTCCAGGCTTTAAGAGGCACAGAACATGATTCAACATCAATAGTAATCATGTTTGCACAAGAGAAGAAGCGGAGTGGCTACAGAACCCAGTTAACTCAAGGGCCTGTTGTAGCTTGCATGCAGAGTCTTGGGCATAGATGCTCTCCGAACTGCTTCCCCTGCAGGACCTACAATCTACCTATAGTCTCCATTGTAGTTCCTTTTTGGGTTTACATTATAGAATCCTTACTATATAATTGGTTAAACCAAAAAAAGGAACTACAATGGAGACTATACCCTAAGGGTCCAAGTACCTAATAATCATATACTCTACCAAATATTAGCCTAGATAACTACCATCCGCAACGAAAGTACCTTATTATTGGGTCCTTTGGACCCTTAGGGATAGGTACAATCTATGCCTTTTTTGTGTGAGGGCCTTTTCCTGCAGCGACGTCCTACAGAGAGCTCTCAGAGGGCAGGCCGGAGATTCTCGAGAGGACGTCGCCACGGTTTAGGGTTTAGGGTTTAGGGCTTAGGGTTTAGGGTTTAGGAAACCTTGATCTTAAACCCAAACTTGGAGGTTCATGGGTAGTTATAAGCAGCCCTACTAATGACCCCACTTATAACTACCCATGAACCTCCAAGAAGAGCCCGCTCCAGCAGCCTTGGGATCGGAGATGATGATCTTGGCGACGTTCGCTTTGGACCTTATGGCATGGTGTAGGCTGCAAGACCGGCATTGCTGGCAGTTCTGGTTGCCTACTGCAAAGGCACATTCTCAAAACTGTATGAACTCCAGCAGCAGCATTCATCACTAATGAGGCTTGCATGGACAAGATGACTACCCCCCCTCTGGAGCTACAACACTGTGCCTAGAATATCTCCCTAGCGGTACTCTATCATCTTCAGACCCCGTCAAGCCCTAGGGCTCCAAGTATACAAATAGTACCTACTTTGGGGTCTAAAGTCTATAAATAGTGCCTACTTTGGGCTATTCGGAGCCCCAGGGAAGGAACAGTAGCTCTGGGATGACATGCATCATTGCGCAGTCTGCGCGTCACAAGACATAGCACCGACTCCACAACTTCTGTTCTCGGATGCAGCCGCCTATCCCTCGTCGGAGTGAGTAGGTTCTTTGGGGTTAAGGTAAACCCTAAACCCTAGACCCTAAACCCTAAACCCTAAACCCTAAACCCTAAACCTTAAACCCTAAACCCTAAACCCTAAACGCTAAATCGCAAGCCCTATACTCCTTAAACCTAAACGCTAGGTCTCCGCACTCGCCATGGCGAAGGGCGAAGAATCGATGCCGCCTTGGGCATTTGCAAAACACTACAGAGCCAATGTGGGGGTTTAGGGTTTAGGGTTTAGGGTTTAGGGTTTAGGGTTTAGGGTTTAGGGTTTAGGGGGGTTTCCGAAAATAGGGGACCCTAATATAGCCCTAACTAGTAGGGTCCGTAGTAAAAGGACCCCAAAATAAGGTACCCTCCGAAAATAGGGGACCCCAATATAGCCCTAAATAGTAGGGTCCGTAGTATAAGGACCCCAAAATAAGGTACCCTCCGAAAATAGGGGACCCTAATATAGCCCTAAATAGTAGGGTCCGTAGTATAAGGACCCCAAAATAAGGTACCCCCTTATTCTCGGAAACTCCAATGTAAGTAGCCTACATGCTCGAAGGACATTGAGAGATCGCCAGGGCAGCGGCAAAGGCTGCTTGAGCAACCCGCGGGGCGACGCCTTGGTGCGGGTTTAGGAAGAATTCTGTTTTCGCTTCTGGGTGGGGCTAGGGGTTTAGGGGTTTAGGGTTTAGAGTTTAGGGGTTTAGGGGTTTAAGCGGGGGGGGAGAATTGGGCACCGGGCTTTTGAACGAAAAATCAAGCTGTCAGAATGTACGTGCTTGGGCGAAGGAGACTTGACGGTCACCGCGAAGGGTTCTTGCCCCTTGAAAACGGCTATAAGAGGCGCGAGGAGGCTTTCTCCCGAAGCGCCTTCTTCATCACTTTCTGTGCCATGGCCGGCGATGACACAGGCTGGCACTTCTAGCAAAGAAGCCCGGGTTGCAAAGCTCTGGGCTGAAAGGACCACGGCCCGTGACCCGGGAGTAGAAGTTGTAGTTATCAGGAGAGCAAAATGTGGCACCACACCAGCACGCCGTCAAGCCCAAGAGCTTGTGGGTTTAGGGTTTAGGGCTATTAATGGGAAGATCCCGAGGCTCCCTGAAGAAGCACGCCCACTGCCTAAGTCATGACATGCGGAAGGAGGTGACCTTGATAAAGCTGGCTCACCGTGCATGTTGCTTGAGCAACTGCGTCGGCAGGCGGTTCTGAATCTGAATGGAAGAAGTCAAGCGGAATGGCAAGAAAACCATTTCCAATATTTGATGCAAGTGATTAACTCCTGCTAGTAATGGTCTCCGAATTCCAGCACGAGTCTTGCCAGATTTTTCTTGTTTGTGAGACGTCAGCGTCTGGCTTGCCTGGTTCATCCATCGCACGAGGCTCATTCGCCTCGTCTCTCGAATGCGCGACATTCAGGACTTAATGTCCTATGATGTCCCTAGCTACCTTGAACTACCAAACCCCACTTTTTTGTGGGCTCTTATTATAAGCCCTAATATGGAATTTATAGGGACCCTACAAAAAAGTAGGTTTTGGGTTCTTAAGGTAGCTAATGGGACGGATTCTGCAACCGGCCTTGTCTCGTGTAGAGCTGTGACTGGATCTGAACCGCTGGTCGGCTTAGATGGCTTGCACAGATATTTAGGGTTTAGGGTTTAGGGTTTAGGGTTTAGGGATGCTCCACTCTTTGCGACAACTGAGCTTGAACTCATGACCACTGCGGGCTTATGAGCCCATCCTCCTCGTGAGGTTGTGTGCGAGCATTTTCGGTCGATTCATGTAGGTAGTTGTCAAAATTATGGTCCATTTTGGGGTACCCTAAATAATGGGTGCCGTATTGTAATAAGGACCCAAAAAGGGACCCTAATTTTGACAACCACCCACGTGTCTTCACATTTCACTACCAACTAAGGAGATGCCTCTTGGTTGGCTGCAGGATAAGCCAGACAGCGGTCTGCCCATTCCGCTTGCTCTGAGCCAGCATGCGGACTGCAAGGGCAAAAGCTAAGAAGGATGACGCCATTATACTGCAAGTGGTAGGATTATGGTTGAGCTGCCACGACTTCATCAACAGACGCAGATTTATCAGGCTTGTGGATGGCAGGCTGTTCAACTGCAGTGGCTTACGCGCCTAAGGCGATATCCCCCTTGAGACTGTCTCTTCAACTCCAAGCCATGAGATTCGATTCAGTATTTGGGGCTGGAGCTTCGACTCAAGAAATCATGTCGTGCTTTCGGGCCATGAACAATAAACCGGAGATAAAGCGTTAACCCCGGAAAGCCTAAACCCTCCAAGCCCTAAACACCGTAGACCCTAAACCTCATCCACCCTGAAATCAATTTCACAAAAACCTTAGTTTAAACCCAAAGCCCTAAACCTGTAAACCTTACAAAATCGCTGTAGCCTGGCCCTCTGATCTCTGCCGAGCGCCTCAGCCTAAACCCTTGCATCCCACCCCGCAGAACACGGCCTTAGGTTGCGGGTTTCGGGTGCATAGAGTCTCAGGTTTGCAGTTTGGGGATGTTTGTTTGGGGCTTATAGTGTTTAGGGTTTGGGGTTGATGAATTTGAGAAGGCCCTCCACAGTTTGGAAAATCATATGACAATGTTCATCATCTGCTGTAGAGTCGGTATCGGAGAAACGAAGTAAGAGCAGCAGAGGTCAGTAGGATCATGAGCTTTGTCGCCTTTCCACTGGGCGTTGAGGGTATTCTTCTGGAGAGCCTCCCTTGGCGGGCTTCCCGACACTCGGATCCCTTTTCTTCGGTTTCGGAGTTGCTGTACCTTGGGTTTAGGGTTTAGGGGAACCCAAACCTACTGCAAGCCCTGACGACGGCTACGTCTTCTTCCGAACCCGGCTGCGCCTGCCAGAGTTGCCAACATTTCTAGTCCTTAGCAGCGGCGCTGACAGCAGTACAGATATGTAAAGATGAAAGCAACCCTAAACCTAAACCTTGAATCCTAACTAAACCCTAAACTCTAAATCCTAAGCGCTAAATCCTAAACCGTAAACCCTTGACCCCTAGATCCTGAAGCTTAAACGCCTTCAAACCCACGACACAGGCGGCCGAAGCTTTTGCCACCACGAGAGGTCGCTGGGAGCTTCGACGAATGACTGTACACGCTTCCTTCCACCCAACCTCCTTGATTATCACACATCTCCCGAACCGAAGACTGAGATTGCATGTGTTATGTATACACACACATATAAAAAACCTATCTATATATATATATATATAGATATCGGTATGTGTACAGAAACAAATATAAAACCTACAAGCCCTGGCTCGTTAACCCTCAGAAGGTCTGCAAGAAAAAATAGATCTAATGGTGGTGAAACCGAGCTTTCAGCCTTGCTGGGCTGCCTCCACTTGATTCAGCCAGAAGAGGATGTCGTCGCTCACGACCTGAGGTGCTCAACTCCGGTACTATACTCAGGTTAGGGTTTAGGGTTTAGGGTTTAGGGTTTAGGGTTTAGGGAGCCTTCAAATTCGAATAGGGTCTTGGGGTTCCTACTCATCTTGGAAGTCGGAACCTTCAAGTTAGAAAAGGGTTTGGTGTCTATCAGAGTAGGGTTTCCTGAGAAACTACGAGGGGGATGCTATTAACATGTAACAACCTTAAACCCTAAACCCTAAACCCCAAAACCTAAACCCTAAAATGTAATATTCCGACCCTTATATTGGATCGTTGGGCTGCCCCAATAATTAGAATAGTGTTTTGGGGCCCTTTTTCTATATTTATAATCAAGAATCAAGAACCCCCAAAATAGTATAGGTAACTATTTAGGCTTCTATATTATGTCGTACGATTTGCTACTGTTCGAGGGCTTTTGGATTTGGGGTCCAGTTGCGACTCTATCAGAAACAACCGATGGCTTAGGGTTTGGGATTTGTGCTTGGGCTGTGGGGATTTCTCAACAGCGCTTCCTTTTCTCTAAAGCCGGCAATGCCGCTTAAATTCCCGGCGATGTGGGGTGCCGTGAGCACACTCTGGAAGGGACGGCGCGTCACTGGGAGCACCCAGCGATACATGCTGTGTTCAGCTTTTCTTTTTTCTTAGCACCTTGGGGAGGGTACGGAGGAAAAAGCTTCCATGGCCACGGCTTTTAGGGCACAGAGTTGAGACCCTTTTTTTGCCACATATAGGAACAGATCCTCACACGAAAAAAGGGTTTCGCTAATCCTGACACCCAACACAATGATGTGCATCAGGGGTTTGGGTCGGATGCATAGATTGGGTTTCCTTCTTTCACCCGCCAGAAACCTGGAGCCGTGAATCCCCGGACCCTGAACATTCCAGTCTGGATCCTCTGGCAAAAGGTTCTAATATCTTACGCTAGGTTCCCCAGTAATCCCTTAATCATGAGGTTACCTTTTTCCAAATGTCGGCTTTCATAAGGAGACCCCAAAGCAAAGAGGGCAAAAGGGTACTACTGCGGAACCTAGTACCGGTATCAGAGGTCTCTATAGAGGTGATAGTTAGACTTCGAGTTTAGGATTCCAGGTCCTCTAGGGCTTGCAGGGCCCCTAAACCCTAAACCCTAAACCCTAAACCGTAACTCTAAACCCTAAACCCTAAACCCTAAACCGTAACTCGAAACCCTAAACCCTAAACCCTAAACCGTAACTCTAAACCCTAAGCCCTAAGCCCTAAACCCTAAACCCTAAACCCTAAACCGGGGGCTCATAGGGACTAAGCGATTAAGTTCTATGGGTCTGGGAGAACCCGGAGAGAGCCCGAAGTCTCAAGGAACCCCGAAGCTCCAAACTCTACACTTCTCAAACCCTTCAGGATTTAGGGTTTAGGGTTTAGGGTTTAAGGTTTAGAGGTTAGGGTTTAAGGTTTAGAGGTTAGGGTTTAAGGTTTAGAGTTTAGGGTTTAAGGTTTAGAGTTTAGGGTTTAAGGTTTAGAGTTCAGGGTTTAATAAGGTTTAGGGATTAGGATTTAGGGCTTAGGGCCTAAATCCTGAAGCGGTTCCACGCTTTTGGTAACGAGCCAGCCTTACATAGGGTTTAGGGTTTAGGGATAAGGCCCCAGTTGTTCCTTCTTGGGGGTTCATATTTAGAATTCTATAAGGTAATCCCAAAAAAGAACTACTATGGAACCTCTGGGTAGGGATAAGGCCCTCTAACATTCCAGGTCAGCGCGGCTCCCAGTGCTTGTACCCTTCGCACTCACGGTGATAAGATGCGAGCAGAGAGTTCAAAGAGAGAACGCTCCTGTTAGCCTCCCGTGGAAGTCGGATTTGGGGATGTGTCCTAAACCCTAAACCCTAAACCCTGAACCCTAAACCCTAAAGCCCTAAACGTGCTACATCTGACATCCTGCCGTCTTATGCAAGAAGCATGCGCTCTCTTTCAGGATACTGACAAAAACCTGTGCCCGTCTCACTCCTTCATACCTAACGCCACCAACGGAGTCTGCGTCAAGGCTGGAGCAGCAAGATGAACCCTGAACTCCCCTGAGCCATCAGCCTGAAAATCTTGACCGCCGGTAAGCTTTGGGCTCGTTCCCTTCGTGAACCCGGACTGGGCTGGATGCACAGGAAGCTCACCACGTCAGGAGCCCGCTGCAACAGCGGCGGCCATTGAGGGCTTCCCTAAAAGGCTGACTTCTGCGAGCGACGGAGGACTTAAGAAGGTGAATGTGCGTCGAGCGATGTTCATAGTGTGGGGCCGTCAGCCCAGTGATCTCGTAGTCTGGGCCAAGGATTTATCATCATCGTCATCATAATCACCATCATCAGCATCATCATCTTCATCGTCGTCATTATCCTCGTGGCCGTCGTCATGGCCAGCATCAGCGTCAGCGTCTGAGCCAGAATTATAATCGTCATGGCCGTCCCCACCATGTTCACTGGAATACGATGCGCGATCGTATTCGTCACATCA